CTTTTCGCTGAGATCTGTCTTGGTTTTATTCAACATTTCTATGTCATTTCCAGCGAGCAATATATCATCCACATATAAGGATAATATAATAAACTTGCTCCCATTTTTCAAGACATATACACAATTATCTAATTTATTTTGAATAAAACCAAGTTTAGTAACTGCATCATAAAATTTAAGATATCATTGTCTAGAAGAATGTTTTAAACCATATAGAGATTTTATTAATTTATAAACTTTATGTTCCTATTATTTTACCTGAAAACCTTCAGGTTGTTGCATATATATTGCTTCCTTCAACTCTCCGTTAAGAAATGCAGTTTTAACATCCATTTGGAACAACTCCAAACCAAGATATGCAACAATAGCCAAAATAATTCTAATGGATGCAAATTTAGCTACAGGAGAATACGTCTCCTGAAAATCTATTCCTGCCTTCTGGTTATAACCTTTGGCAACTAACCGTGCTTTGAATTTATCAATAGATCCATCAACACGATATTTCTTTTTGAGCACCCATTTGCATCCTATGGCTTTTCTATTTTCTGGTAGATCACATAACTCCCACACTTTATTTTTTTCTATAGAATCAAGTTCTTCTCTCATAGATTCTAGCCATGAAGCTGATTTATGCGAATTCATCGCATTAGAAAAGGTTAAGGGATCTTGTTCTTCTATATTTGTATCTACCGAAAAATAGGATGGCTCACATGAATACAAATAGTAATCATTCATCCATGAAGGTTGTGTTCTTGGCCTTTTGTTGCCTACAACCGGTTGATTAGGTACATTATTTTCCATAGGTATTTCATCATTTTTAAGGTTAGGTTCATTCACAATAACAGAATCATTAGTGGGAACAACACTGTAATAATCATCATCTATTACAGTTAGAGGTTCTGTTTCCTCTTTAACTTGTTCCTCTTCCTCTAGATTCTCTAGAAATGTAGCATCTCTGCTTTCAATGACTCTTTTTTCTTTATTATAGAACTTATAACCTTTTGACTTTTCTGAATATCCTATGAATCTACACTTTATTGTTACTTTTCTGAATATCCTATGAATCTACACTTTATTGTTTTAAAATCCAACTTATCTCTAAGTTGACATGAAATGAGAACATGGGCTTTATTGTTTTAAAATCCAACTTATCTCTAAGTTGACATGAAATGAGAACATGGGCTATAGATCCCCACTTCCTAAGATGACTCAAATTAGGTTTTCTCTCATTTCATAATTCATAAGGTGTAGATACTACTGATTTGGTGAGAATTCTATTTAAAATGTAGTTAGCAGTTAACAATGCTTCTCCCCAAAAGTTTTTAGAGAGACCAGAATGAGATAACATGCACCTAACTATATTTAATAATGTTCTGTTCTTTCTTTCAGCAACACCATTCTGTTATGGCGTATACGGCATTGTTGTATGCCTTTTAATTCCATGCTGAATACAATAACTTTTAAATTCTTTAGAATTATATTCTCCACCTCTATCAGTTCTCAGAATTTTAATTTTCAATCCAAGTTGGTTTTCAACTTCTGTCTTATATCTCTTAAAGCAGTCAAAAGCTTTTAATTTTCTGGATATAAGATAGACGTGTGCAAACTTGGAATAATCATCTATAAAAGTAATAAAATATTCTTTATTACTATGAGTTTTGACACTTAGGGGACCACAAATATCCGAGTGTATCAACCCTAAAAGTTCATTGGCTCTATGTCCGCCAACAAAAGGTTTTCTAGTTATTTTACCAGTTAAACAATGTTCACATAGTGACAATTAAACATTAGATAGTGCAGGAAGCAAGTTCATTCTGATAATTTCTTTTATTTTTGAAATACTAGCATGTCCTAGTCTAGAATGCCACAATTCAGATTCAGAAATATAACAAGACAAGTAGTTCAAATTCAAAATTTTATTATCAAAATTATTACAAACTACTGGAAGAATGCATAATTCATGCTCGGACACATATTTTCCCATAACATACACTTTATTATTCTTGCCTATAGAAACCCTGTTATTATAGAACCTAACTTCTAGTCCTTTCTTCATCAAGCTGGGAACAGAGATCAGATTGCGCCGAATTCCTAGCGCATAGAACACATCTTTGAGGACAAGAATGTTATCCCCAAGATCTAATCTATATGAACCAATACCTTCTACATCGAGATAGGTATTATTTCCCATATAGATTCTCTGTTCTCCTTTCTTCAGCTCGGTGAATTCTACGACTTCATTCTTGTCCTTTGCAATATGCCTAGTCGCTCCGGAGTCGATCCACCAACCACTAATGTCCGTCATCACAGCATTACATTCCGTCACACCGACGAATTCTCTTTTGCTAGTACCCCTTATTCTGGATATTTATAACCTCCCTTATTCTCCTGTTTTTCACCTTATGGGCAATTGGGTTTGAAATGCCCGAACTTTCCATAATTGTAGCAGGCTCCGCGGGGTACTTTCTTTCTCTTGAATTGTTGTGATTTCGATCCTCGCGGTTGTGGTTTACTAGAACCAGGGTTTTTATAGCTTCCAGCATTATGCCTCTGGCGGACATAATTCAGCTCTTACTACACCATATTCAGTTCCGGTTCCTTTCTACTGGCTATTAAATCATGTTCTATCGCTAGGTGCAAAGGAAGATCAGTGACAGACTTAATGACAGGATTCATTCTTAATGTGGTGGCAGCCACAGCAAGTGAAGGGGGAAGACTATTCAAAATGGTTATCACTTGCATTCTTTTCGGGATTTCGATCCCAGCAATGGATAAGTCCTTAGTCATAACAATCATTTTATTTATATGCTCTACGATATTGTCTCCCTCTTGCATACGATAAGAATTATACTTATGCAAGAGGAGTTGAATGTTAACTTCAGAAGCAGTGTCGTATTTTTCTTTTATTGCATTTCACATGTCCATGGAAGTCTTATAAGTTTCAAAAACTTTGATTAAATTATCTTCTATGAACATGAGCATAAGACTTTTCGCCTTTTTATCTTTCGACTTCCACTGTTCAAACACTTTCTCATTTTCAGGTGTAGATTTATCAGTAAGGATTGGAGCAGTGGCTTCGATTATATCATCAATGTTGTCATGAATAAGAGCATATCCTATTTTTCTATGCCACATATCATAATTACTGTCATTAAATTTGTCAATTTTACCTAGTTCTGATAGAACGAGTTTACTAACCATTCGGTAAAGAACTAAAACTAAATTAATTTTAAAATATGTGTAAGGTTGATATTTTGACAATTATACTAAAAATAAGGTTAGATAAATAAATAATTAAATTAAAATGAACCTGATTTTTGTGAGTTGAGAAACGAAACTCCAATTTGAGCGAGATTGTCACTCAGCGGTGTAGATTGGATCAGCACTTGTCGAAGTTTTGTCGTCGTTTCTGACTGGATTGGAGATGATCAAGTTGGAACAGCCGGGCAGCAAACAAGCACAAATTCAAGGCCCAATTTATGTTAATGCAGATGTATGCTTTGAGCTCACGTGCTTTGATGGGAGATAGACTTGAAGATGTGTTAATAGGACATTTGTAGGACCAGTGAACAATAGGGATGTTGATTCTTGGACCAGTAAACAATAGGGATATAGGCTATAAAGTAGGACGGAAAAAAAAAGAGACCTGCTAGTTGGATGTAGACATGTGGGTATAGGTTAGCTTGTAGGTGTAGGCCTGTGGCTAGGCTATGAACAAAGAGTAGGACCGAAAAACAAAAGGGAGTAGGCTGTGAACAACAGTTTTGAAACAACAGAGAGTAGATTTTCTTCTTCAAAAAAGTTGTTGTTGGTTCTTCTTTTTCAATTGAACTTTTCTTCTTCTTCAACAATGGTCTGGACCGATGACCTTCAACTAAACTCGGCTTCTCTCTACTCTTCTAAAAAAAATTTCTCAATCTCGAGCACTGATACCAGTGATTAAACTCTGAGAAGCAAAGAGGAAGAAGAACTGATATTTCTGAGGGGCTCCAGTAATGGGTAAGTGGTTTTTCTTTTTGATTTTCGTTTTATTTTCTCAAGGAGAATGATCCTCCTTATATAGGGGCATAACTCATCATCTCTACCCCTCAGATCCGCCCCCATGAGAGATTTTTTCTCAACCACCCATGATTTACGTTCTCCACTATTCTCTCAACAGAGAAACAGTGGTTGATTTGGTCATCAATGACCAAGTCAAGCTAACAGTGAATGTGGATCCCGATTTTAATGAGTAGAGGGGAATATGTCACAACATTACTAAGCATAAAAATTATGCTTAGTACCAAGCATACCTATTTTTCTCATATATATATATATATATATATATATATATAGAGAGAGAGAGAGAGAGAGAGAGAGAAATGGGTATGCTGAGTACCAAGCATAAAAAATGGTGTTTGGTAGTGAGGTGTCACATTACCCTCCACTCATTAAAATTGGGGCCCACACTCACATGGGTTGAGGAGTTGTTGGGAATGGCAATGAGTGGGATGGAATGTACATCTAAGTACCAAGCCACCAAATTTGTGTTTGGTACACAAATACCAAGCATACTTATTTTCTCAATATATATTATATATTATAATATATATATATATATATATATATATATATATATATATATATATTTATATATATATATATATATATATGGGTATGTTTGGTACCAAGCACAAATAGTTATGCTTGGTAGATCGATCGTGTCACATCCCCTCCAACTCATTCAAATATCGGACCGACATTCACCATGAGTAGTGAGTGGATGAGGATGTGACACATCACTATCAAGCACAACTTTTGTGCTTGGTATATATATATATATATATATATATATATACTATATTATATATATATATATATATATATTATATATATCAGTTCATACAATGCTCTCTTCAAAACTATAAAAGGCTTTTTCGAATTCCAAGTTTAGTGAGTTTGATGAATTTACCGTAAAATGAGAAAGTGTTTAATTTGAGGGGTTGACTGAAAATTTTTACCAGATCGATAGAGAGAGGGAAAGGTGGAACATGTGGACGAGACTGGGATCGCCGATCCAGCGGCCGAGGAGATCGCGTGACTGAGGGTCGAGGCCGAGGCGGCGCCATTGTGGCTGCCGGTGAGATTTATCGTGAGTGGACTTCTCGATTAGGATTACGCCCCATCCAACGGCGATTAAGGCGTGAGCACACGATAGGCCGGCGATGCTCCCTCCGACTATTATAGCCGTCGGCCCTCTCTTTTTTTGCTCCATTTTCTTTTTCCCTTTTTCCCTTTCTTTTATCTACCATATAATGGGATAAGGTAATTTTGGTTTAATTTCGCCAAACCCCCTTGAACATTGGGTTTTTTACATGGCCTCCTGTACTTTTTTTTATCTTACATAACTGGCCCTGGAATTTAGATATTGTACAACTCCAGTAATATCATCATTTACGTGCAGAAACACGTAGTGTGACAAGTATGCAAAAAAATCCTGAAATTTATCTATTGTACAATAATATTATTGTTTACGGGCAGTAATAAGTAGTGTGACAATAAAGCGTGCAAAAAAAATATTTATATCTACAGATATATTCGTATTTGTATCCGTTAATATATAGATATGGTTATCAAATATCTATATTTGATAGGATATGGTTACGAGTATGAATATGTAGTGAAATATTTAAAATTGTATTTGAATATATGCTTTACAATTGTTTTAATCCTTAGATTAACAGATTTGAGGTAAATTTTGATGATCAAGAGATCTAATATTAGGTTTTCAGGTACACTGGACATATTAATGAACTTTCGCATCATGTAAATTATATTTTTTAATATTATTTAATTTTCTCACGTCCATTTTGTACCCACATATATATCTGCATATATATCTACATGTATATATCTATATTTGTATCCGTCCACGGTACGAACATACAAATACAATAAGTATAGTAGCCGAGCCATGTCCTAACCTTTTGCACCCCTAGTGAGAAGAGAGACCATCTTGTTAATGGAACAATAAAGAGTGGGTTTAATGATAAAATCACCTTTCAAAATTAGTTACCCTCGTGACCCTGACCCTGTTATAATGCAAGCTTTTTTAAGCTACCCCCATGCTCCATCACCTTCCTTCATTGCCTCCAAACTTTTCCCGCCAGAAATCCATCTTCAACCTCACAGCCCTCGCCAAGCCATCATGTATCTCTCTCCTCAAGTTGTGCAGCTCCATGAGGAAATTCAAACAAATCCATTGCCAAATCCTGATCTCAAACCAACATCAAACCGGCGAAATCCTAGACCACCTCATCCTCCACTGCACTCACCCACAAACAGGAGACCTCAAATACGCATTGAAATTATTTGAAACAATCAAAACCCCGTCTTTATTTGCCTATAACTTGATGATCAAGGCATTCCACAAAAAGGGTAGCTTCAATAGTGTCCTAATGCTTTACAACAGAATGAGAGAGGAGAGCTTGAAACCCGATAATTTCACATACCCTCTTGTTTTAAAGTCGATGGGTCGCCTTGGGTTGACGGAGGAAGCAAGAAAGGTCCATGCCTTTGTTTTGAAATCAGGGTTTGAGTTTGATTCTTATGTTAGGAGCTCCCTTATTGGAGTGTTTGCTGATTTGGGTTGCGTTGAAGTTGCTCGACTGTTGTTCGATGAAATGCCTAAGAGGAGCTTAGTTTGCTGGAATGCCCTGATTTCTGGACTCGTGAGGGGTAGAGAATTTGAGGGTGCAATTTCGGTGTTTGAGAAGATGGCGGAAGAGGGTTTGGAGCCCGATGAGGCTACTCTTGTGAGCACGCTCTCGGCTTGTGTACAATTGCGTAATTTGGAACTGTGGAAAAAATTTCGTCGGTATATTAATGAAAGTTTTAAATTTAGCCTTCCTATAGGAAATGTGCTATTGGATTTGTACGCAAAATGTGGGTGTTTAGATTTGGCTAGAACTTCTTTTGATGGCATGCCGATGAGAAATGTGATCTCTTGGACCAACATGATCTCAGGATATTTGAATTTGGGTAGGTTACATGAAGCAAGAGAACTGTTTGATTCTAGTCCGACTAAGGATATAATTCTTTGGACGACTATGCTTAATGGCTATGTGCAATATAATCAATACGAAGAAGCCCTTTCCCTCTTCCAAAAGATGTCGATGAAAAGAATCAAACTTGATAAGTTCACAGTTGTGACCCTTCTCACTGCTTGTGCAAATTTGGGTGCCCTCGAGCAAGGGGAATGGATCCATGAATATATCAAGAACAACATGATACAAACAGATGCTGTAATTAGCACTGCCCTAATTGAAATGTATTCAAAGTGCGGGTGTATAGAAAAAGCAATGGAGGTATTCAGGAATGTACAAGGTAGAAAAGACGCCAAAAGTTGGACATCAATTGTGTGTGCACTAGCAAGGAATGGTCAAGCAGCAAGAGCCCTTGAAATGTTCTCGGATATGCAAATGTATGGGGCTAAACCTGATGATATCACCTTTATCGGTGTTTTAGCTGCTTGCAGTCATGGAGGATTACTCAACGAAGGGCGTCGATATTTTTATGAAATGAAGGAAATACATCGAATAGAGCCCAGAATTGATCATTATGGTTGTTTCATTGATCTCCTAGGGAGATTTGGTCTTTTAGAAGAAGCGAAGGAGCTGATAGAGAGAACGTCAAATGTAAAAGATTGTGATGTTTTATCGTTATGGGGTTCTTTGCTTGGGGCTTGTAGGATCCATGGAAATGCTGAGATGGGCAAGCGAATAGTAAAAAAGGTTGTTGATTATGAATCAAGGGATTCTGGGCTTCATGTATCGATTGCTAACTTATATGCAGCAGCAGGAAGATGGGAGGACGTGTATAGGGTAAGAGGAAAGATGAAAGATACAGGAGTTAAAAAGACACCTGGTTGTAGTTCTATCGCTTCATATTCTGATATTCCTGTGTTGAATAGTATGAACAGAGTAATGGAGATGAAGGAAATGGAAGAAGTAGATAAAGGATTGATGGGAGCTGTTTCATGAGATTGCAACCTTGTATTGTAGGGTTAATAGATGGACCCCTGTACTATCGCTCAATTGCGGATAGACCCTGTGCAGTTCCATTGTCGCGGATAGACCCAAGTGATTTTTTTTTTTTTTTTTTGCCCCACTCTAAAAAAATTCTTCCTCTGAGGGTAAAATAGTCACACAAAAAAAGGTTCACTCAGGAGTCTACCTGCAACAAGAGTAATTATAGGGACTTGTCCACAATTGGGTGATATGAGAGAGGATCTGTCCGCAATTAACCCTTCATTTTAAGAAGAGATGCCTTCACTCAATCACATTGAGATTTCATGTACGCTTTTTCCACAACTGAGGTACTGTATACCACAAATGGTGAAGTATTGTCATACTTATTTTGTAATAAAAAGTTAGAAATGAATTGTGGATGGTTGCATTGCTGATCCCCTCTTTTTCTTTTCTAAAATGTTTCGCAATCTCAGGAAGCTGCTGGCACATAAACTGAGGGTCTATCTTCTGCTTCAGAATATCATAAAATTATTGGAACAACAATCTACTGATAACATGTTGGAACTAAAATAGGTGGAAAAGCTCATTTCAATGAAAATTTTGAGATAAACTGCAGCTTGAAAAATGAATATGCAGATTATGAAAAATGATTTTTGAAAATGGTACTAGCACAATTAGTCATGTTTATAGAGACGTGAATAAAGTAGCTGATCGTCTTGCAGATTTTGCATTTCAAGCACAAGTAATTGTAACTTCCAAATCAATTTTGTAATTTCTATGCCATCTTCATGAATAAAATCTACAGGTCTCTCTGGGGACCTGCGTGAAGTCCCGGGTTAAGAAAAAAAGAATAATTATGCAACCATAACACTGGTAGGAATGTGATCTTGTATATACAGGACCAGTATCAAACCACGCAGACCGAAAATGACAACAAACAGATGGCATATGTCACATGAAGATAAAAACATTTCATGCATAAATAATTCAATATGGCAAGCAACTAATCTGCTTACATATATCAGAATCATAGATATCATATATCTTCTCAAACAAATATATCATCATTGTAGTCCAAATCAAACTAAACGAGGACCAAATTTCAAATGCTACTGCATATTAGACGAAGAAAAACACAGTAATATTTTGCTCGAAAAATGAAAGAGAAAAAAAAGGAATTATAATAACAAGGCCAAGATAGGAAACCGCAATAAAGCTAAGCCTGGTATATCACAGAACAAGGCCAAATAAGAGAAGCCATTTATTGATCATGAACTCTTATGCACACTGAAGTCCTGAAGAAGTATTACGTTACACCTACAAAATTCAAAGAAGACCCATATGCTTTACTAAGTCGAAATTAGTTAACATAGTCACTAATTTCTCCTCAATTTTCACCAATTAAACCAACACTGATCGTTTTCTTTTCAATTTCTGCCAATGTTAGTATCTGCATTAATCACACTTTCTTCAAGACCAACAATCTCAGCAAAAGCTTTCTGCAGCATTTCCTTTGCAATCTTATAACTCTCTGGAGATGTTGATCCCTTTTCAGCAAACTTAATAGCATCATTAAAAAGCTCACTGTACCGAGCCATTGACGAAGTCTGACTGTAATTTCGTACTTCGGAACTTCGATCATCAGATCCAATACCAGTCTTTGCTTTCCTCGTCCATCGCCTTAAAATGTAGTGCTCTGGGATCGATATTCCACCATTTAGCAGCAAAACCCCCAAAATGTGTCTACATAAAATTCCAGAAACCTCAAACTTGAAGCAACTACAAACTGCTTTCTTTTCAGAAGCATTAAAAGCAACAAAATGCCTGTTTCGTCCATTCCCATTTTTGTCTACCGAGTATTTGCTGATAGCCCCCTCCTGAATTTTCACTACATAGTGATTGAAAGCTTCAAGCAATTCAAGCTGAAACTTTTCGAATGCTGTCTTTGTATAAAGCTCAGCTGCTTGTTTCTCCATCGGCGAACTTGTCTTCAAAATATGCCTACTATACAAGGCAAAATTATCTTTCTCTTCTTTCTCATATCTCTCGTCAATGGCTTGATCAAATTTGTCAATAAAAGCTTGTAAAGAGATTTGTGTATCAAAGTGATTCCTGTAGAACCTGTTCATGCTTTCTAATCTTTGAGTTGCAGAGAATTCAGCAAAGAACGAACCCTTTAGATATGCAGGTATCCATTTATGGCGAATATTGTAAAGTGACTGAAGCCAAGCATTCTCTCTTAGATTGTATTTATCAACAATCAATCTCCAATACGCTTCAAAAGCCTCAATTGTCTCACACTCAATGACACATTTCTTCAAGTCGTCATGAAGAGTAGGATAGGTAGAGTACACATCAGACAATTTCTTCTTGCATCGCGATAGGATATTCCACTTACACAAACGATGACGAGTATTTGGAAACACCTTTGCAATTACCACTCCTATAGAGTTTCCTTGATCGGTGGTAAATGAGAGTGGTTGACGATTGAACATTGCACTCAACCATGTCTCAAATAACCAAGCATAAGATGAAGGAGTATCGTCAATAACCAAAGCACATCCAAAATTAACAGGCTGTCCATGATGATTGACACCAGTAAATGTAGCAAATGGCAACATTTTTTCATTCTTCTTATAACTAGTGTCAAATGTTACCGCATCCCCAAAATAATTGTAGGCCAACCTAGCTCGAATATCAGCCCAAAAAACATTAGTTATGCAATTTCTACTATCTACTTGCATTGAATAGAAAAAGCCCGAGTTTGCTGCCTGAGCTTTCCGCAGATACTCAAGGATTCCTTGAGCATCTCCATCTCCGAACACTTTCTGCCTCATTTCTCTCAAGTAGGTATCATGCTCCCTCTCTTTACCCGTTAACCGATTATATTGGATCTCACGAATTCTCTCGGGACTAACGACAATATGTGTATGATCCAATACTAATTTAGTAACCACCCATTTGTCTGGCCCTCTTCGAACAACTTCCATCATTGCCGGACACCCATCCCTGATCGAAAGACGCTTCCTTTTCTTTTTTGGTGTGTGATCAGTAACCTTCTTCTTGTGATGACCTTCTTTTAAACAGACGAATCTCTTCATGACCAAAACCTCGACACCTTTTCTTCTCTCTCTACGAGACCGAGCTACACGAATCCCAAATCCAAGCCGAAGGGCATAAGCATGATAGAATGCTCTTGCAGCAGAATCTGATTCAAACTCCATGTTTAGATATGGATCTATGTTTTTTACATCTCCATCGGTGGACAGTAGATCGCTCCCGATGGTATTACTGACAGCAGCCATAGAATTTTCTCCGTGTTCTAAGAAATGAAGTGGAACAGTAACTTCATTGGAACGTTGATCGACATCAGAGATAGGGATGTCGTCTTCAAGATCAACATAGTGGTCGATGAGCTCATCATCTTCACTAGAAGAGTACTCCATAATCTGTATTTCCGATGAAAACCCAATTATTTATTTAGTGCCAACATTGATTAACATTGATTCAAATGAATACAAGAAACAGCTCATTAACATCAAGATATCAGATAGTCAACCTTTAGCCGTCTATTACCAAGTTTTGAACTTTTTTGATATCAAGCAACACTTGTTTGTCCTCAATAAGCTTATAGTTTTCCCCAGAATGGAAAAGTATATATAACTGAGATATTTGCAGAAATATCATTATTTCCTTAGAGCTCATCACTGATACTGATAAGTGATTCAAATAACTGACTTTTGTTTGAATAGAACTAATTTCTCCAATTAATTTCAACCTACTTTCTTTGTCTCCGCTTTTACACCAATCATCTAAATTCAGGAATCACATAATATTGACTATTTCCAGACAATACCGCTTATTTTCCTCATTGTAAAAATCAACAACATCTAAATGAAGAATTAAACTGGCAGAAACCAGTAATCCTTACTTCACACAACCAAGTGGGAAAACTTCAGCAACTAAAGAAGCAATATCAAGAAATATTAATATCTCAATAAGCTCACCACTAGAAAAAAACGAAGTAACTAAGATATAGAGAGAATTCATATAATCTAGAGGTAGAATCTCTAAATGATTCCAAGAATCGATATATTCACAAGATACCCATTACACTCTGGCCCCTAAATTCTATAATATGCATTAAAGGATCGAACTTATCAAACATCAAGGCCAGAAAAAGAAGGAATCGGGTAATAAAAGAAGCAACTTTGAGCTGCAAGATAGGATTTTGATCTAAAACTAGAAGTAATAAATTAGGGTTTTGGAGACTAGAAAAAAAATTGCAACTTTAAAATTGGGGAAAGGATTGGGAGCAGTGACCTGTTGGATTTCGCGACGGCGGGAGGAGGAGGGGGTGGAGGTGGGCTGTTGAGTGTCGGGGTATATGGGATTAGGTTCACCGACAGGTGATGAGATCTCACTTCAGCTCAAATGGGGCCAATAGTAATTTCTTCACACGAAAAAAGGACAATTTTTTTAAAACAACCTATTTGAGGAATTAATGAACAAAATCGACTTTCTCCCATAAAAATTAGCAAAATCGGCCGTCTTCATCCCGGCTAAGATGAAGACAGTCGATTTTGTTTGCAGCGTTTTTTTTAACTACTAGGGACTACTAGTCCTGTGTAGTTAAGGCATGCTAATCCAAGATTAGCCATGTCAAACTTATGGGCGGGATTAGTAGTCCCGTCTATTTGGTATTTAAGTAACTCGTGACCCTCCTCTCCCCTCTTTCCTTACCTCAAGTCCATGACCGTTCTCGAGATCTCGCAACCCCACTACCACAGATCTTGCGACCCCGCCGACCACACTCGCTCCAGCCTCCGACCGCGCTCGCGACCCTAGCCTCCAACCGCGCTCGTGACGACAGTCGTCTCCGACCACGCTTGCGATCACAGCCGTCTCTGACCACATCAAACTCCAATTAAGGTGAAAATTTTCGCTATTTTCTTGTGAATTTGATGATTTATATGGTTGTATCAGGCTAGGGTAAAAATTTGATATGAATGATATGGTTTTTTATTTAGGGTTTAATTATAATTGGGATATGAAATTTGTGGTGTGAATTGTAATTTTTTGTGAGAATTTTGATGAATGATATGGATTGACTAGGGTTTATGCATGTGGTTTGTTATCGTGGGGTAGTGCCGTTTTGGCGTACCTATATAAAGAGATGTCCAAGGTGGCATTCAAGCAAAACAGTGACTTCAAAGTGTGTCTAACCTTACTGCAAGTATGGACATGGGAGAGACTTCATTTGAAACCGAGACTACGTGCATATACAATTAGATGGACAAATTCCACTGGGATGCAGGTATCCATTTTTTAATGTAGCAAATATAATTGTAGTTATCATTGTTGATACTAAATTTTGAAAACAACACAGATGGAATGTCCAAAAATGTTACGACGAGACTCCGGCTAGACAATTAGATTTTTACCAAAATGAGCTGAACGTATGAAGGTTTTTCATGTATCTTTTCTATAAAAATGAGTTTTTCCTTTTATATGTCTTTTAGTTTTAATGATATGCAAAAAATATGTGAAATATTCTGTAGATGGAATGGGAGCCCTACACTTAGTTTCTCAATCGCCTACCACCGGTATACACAGAATACCCAGCTACATGGAGAGCCAAAGTTCCTCTTATATGTTTTGAGATAGCAGAGATGCATGTACCGAACTGCGTGCTTCGACAATTTGGTCTTGCACAATATTTTACGTAATTTGTTGAAAAAATAGAGAGGAAGGCAAAGAAAGGAGGCCATCAAAAGGACTGGGCAGCTAAGCATCAGGATTATATATACAGATGGAATGATAAACATTTCTGTATTATTGAGCAAATTGAGCCAACTCCCCGGGAATCGGATTACTACACTTTGTATTGGGGGATAACCTGAAGATGGATAATCCATGCTACCAAAGCACCGATTGAGTTGCAAAAAGGATACGTGCCCCGGGGTATAGATGAGAGAGAATTAGTAAGTATTTTCAGATTTTGATTTAAGATCCATTTTTATTGGTATTCCTCAATATTGTTAACATGTGTTTTTCGGAATAATTGTACGTAACAGCAATAGATGATCTTCAAACCATTGAAATCATGCATAAAATTTGCTCGAGCAGGTAATATAGAATTAAATTTGAATTTAGATTTACGTAATTTGAATATTAAAATAATTTTCCTATTTTGGATTTTGAATTATCTCTCGCAGGTACATATCCTGAAGCACAGCAACATGTATCGATATATCAGTCGATAGTGCGGAGGCTTCACCAAGCCTTAAGCCGAACTCACGAAGATCTTCATGATGGACGCACGACAACCACGACAAAGCCGAGGACGACGCAGGAACGACGATGAAGCCGGACCTTCCTAACATGTTAACGATGAAGCTGGACCGTCACAACTACAAACGCAACCGGATAACGAACTCGTCCAAGCTCGGGATGGAGGAGGATGAAGACAAAGGAGGAGGAGAAGAGTTCTTGGATGTATGTAAACTAATCATTATTGTTATATACATTACAAACCTATTTTGGTATATTATTTGGGTGGTGTGATGAGAATGAGTATATTATGTATTCATATCAATGTGAGATGGTTTTTGGATTTGTAAATGAGTTTGTGGTGTGATTTGTGGTGGGAATTTGTTAGATTTATTACGATATGTATCGATATGAGGTGCTTTTTAGATTTGTACAAGAAATACACAAAAATGGATATGGTTGCAATGTTTTTACAAGAAATTAACATGGAGGTTGCATAAAAAATGTGCACAATGTAGTGCACAGGAAATGCACGGGACTAGCAGTCTCGTGCATTTTGAGTTTGTGCCCAGGAAATGGACGGGACTAGTAGTCACGTTCATTTCCTAGAAAACAAGTGGAGTCTCTGCTTAAAACTCGAAACTGCTAGTCCCAAGTTTTAAGCAGAGACTTGGCCCCTTGCCCATGAAATGGACATGACTACTAGTCTCGCCTATTTGGTTGGCATGGCTAATCTTGGATTAGCATGCCCTAACTACACGGGACTAGTAGTCCCGTGTAGTTAAAAAAACACCGGCAACAAAATCGACCGTCTTCAACTTAGCTCAGATGAAAATGATCGATTTTACTAATTTTTATGGGAGAATGTCGATTTTGCTCATTAATTTCTTAAAATGGTTGTTTTCAAAAATTTGTCCCAAAAAATGAATTTATATAATATTAAAGGTTTGTCCCGCAGAACCTACCAGTGGCCTACTCGATTTTGACAAATCTATTGATGAAAAATCCATTCTAGTCAACCGAATAAATACAAATTTGTGGAAAAGAGAGAAGAATATTTGCAGATCGAGTCGAAGAGTGTTGATTTTAGAATGCAGACTCAGAGCCCTTCAGATTTGAACCATCCATAAATAAGATTTAGTTTAATTAGCTTATGGGTGTTTTATTGGTGTTTTATTTAATTAGCTTCTTAAAAATCAAGAATGACTTTATCAACAAAGACATTTACTCTCAGCCTTGTCTTGTATTCATTGTATACGATTCAAAGAAAAAAGATCAAAGTAAATAGAAGTTTAGCCTTAATTTGTCTTCATGATATTTGATTTAAAAAAAGCTCCGTAACCAAAATAGGACCACTTTACAAACAGATTGCAGAAGTAATAAGAAAGAATTAGATCTCTCATTATTCAGGACTTGGGCAGTAGCCTCAGTACATGCAGTAAATCTAAACCTTAAATCCTTACAAATAAAAGCAGCATCTAAACTTTATATTGATCAGAACACAAATAGTTCTCTCTTGTTCAAAAGACCAAGTAAATGAAATTTTACAAAGCATGTATCTACATGCTCAACATAGACCAAATTGGCAACATTTATCAAACCCTAAAAAGGGCAACTTCTTTTTCCCCTGGGAATACACAATAATGCTAGTCTACTTACGACAATATCTCACGCTGCTTTTGCTGGCCAAGTTGCTTGAGCTGACATGATAATGCCTACAATCACTCCGAATAAACCAAGGGCACTACCGAAGATTTCAATGACCAAAATCTTCACGAAGAGGGAGGAGTTCTGAGCATCAGAAAGTGCGCAGCTGCTTCCAATTATTCCCACGCAAAGCCTGTCAAGAATAATCAGGTTTGAGTTTCAGTCATCAATAACGACACTTGATCATCTGAGATAACGAGATGGCTTATTTTCACTTTAGGACCCCAAAGTTTACCCATATTTCACTTTGATAACCCAAAATATTTCTTTAGCACTTTGCTGCCCCCAAAGTTTCAATCCCATTTCACTTTTAATACCTCATCCACATTTCATCAGGTTTTCTGTTAATTTATGTAGCGTGCTCAGCACTTGATAACCACATGTACTACTGCTGGGATCATTTGGTTATTTGGATCCCCCTAGCAACGGGATAAAATGGACCAAATGCATCAAATTTAACCAAAAAATTCTACCAAAATCAGCATGTTGGGTGCAGTGTAGTGGGATTGAAACTTTGGGGGATTGAAGTGTTAAACTAATACATTAGCTTATTACAGTGAAAAGAAAAGGAATTTAGGGAACCAAAGTGAAGATAAGCCTTCAAGATTGAAAACATACCCACAAACAAGGTTTGCAAAGCCCACTATAATGCCAGAAGCAAAGATTGCATATCCCGCTCTTAGAGATTCTGGAGCATATATCTGAGATGCTGGGACACTTTCTAGCTTGGTTTGTAGGATGATTGCAACAATAACGCCATATATAGCAACAGCCTCACAAAAGATAACGCTGCTCAGGAAAAGAAATATATTTCAACAGCCATGGAATATGCACAAGAAAGGAAGATGGAATAAGTAGAGTATGTATTATGCTATATCTACTGTTTACTTGCTAGTTATAAAAAGTTTCCCATGTAGCATATGTATGATCGTGATTGTGCAGCTTGGTAGTTTTACATCATACCAGTGTTTTAAAAAACGCCCTGGGCGGCCGCCTAGGCGCCCGCCTAGGCGGAGGCGGTGCCCAGGGCGTGTAAAAAAGAGCTAAACGGCCAAGTTTAGGCGCTGGGAGCGCCTAAACGGCCGCCCAGAGCTAAGCGGGCCGCTTAAGCGGCCCGCCTCACAAATTGAAATAAAAAAAGCCCGCCTCACTAATTGAAAGAAAAAAAAAAGAGTTCGGGCGCTGAAAAACCCAAACCGAAACCCAAAACCCAAACTAAAGTAAACCCTAACTCAGAAATTCTCACTTACCCGACGCCGCCACGAATTCGTCGCCTCCGTTCTGTTCCTCGTCAAAGCTCGAAGACTCGTCGAAGCCGTCAGATCCTCGTCTTCAACCTCCGCTCTGTTCCTCGTCGAAGCCTCAACCTCCGAGCTCGTCTTCAACATCTGGTCGTCGAAGCCTCAACCTCCGAGCTTCGTCGAACAGTCGAGCTTCGTCGAACATCTGGACGCCGCCACGAATTCGTCGAGCTTCGTCGAACAGTCGAGCTTCGTCGAACAGTCCGCTTCATCTCTTTAACAAGGTAAAAGACTAATTGATAATTTGGAGGTAAGGATATTGTGTTTTTGTATTTAATTGATAATTTAAGTTAATGTCCTGTATACATCTGGTATTTTTTTAGTTGTTCTCTGATTTCTTTTTTTTTCTTTAATTTGTTCTGCTGTTCAAAACTTCACACTTCACACATTTTACAGTTTTCTTCTTCTTTCTTTTTGAATTTTTTTTTCCAGTTTTTCCGTAATTGTTTCTTGATAATTTGTTTTATGGAAAACCTTTAGTTGTTAAAAAATTAACTGTTAATTACATGATTGTCTTAGGAGTAACATTGGTAAAATGTCTTGTTCAGTGGACAGCCAGCCCATTTTTGGTCACTTTACTCTGGATTACAAATGAACCAATTTGTGATTTTATAATTTTTATTTCTCTGCTTCATTCTGTCTTTTGAGAGTTTGTATGGGTTATTTCTGTAGAAAATGCTTGAATGCTTGATATTGGTAGAGTCTAGCACTGCCAGTGCTAGTAATTGTCTCAAGTTTCGGTATGGCTAAAACTGCAGCTTATTAATGTTTTGCAGCTCCTAAGTTTTTAGAGTCTCAAGTATCGTAATTAAAAAGAAAAAAAAGAAAAAAATATTCATTCTCTGCATTTGCTCAAAGCTTACAACTGTACATGCAATAATTGTGTATCTGTATTGAGTTGAGTGCTGAAACTATAATATTCATGCTCCCTACATTTGGAGCTGATAAAGTCATTCAGGTTGTCACGGATAATGCAGCTGCAAATATGGCCGCGAAGGAGCTTTTATATAGGAGGAGGCCGAGGATTTTTTGGACTAGTTGTGCAGCACACACTGTTGACCTGATGCTTGAAAGCATCGGGAAGTTGAGTTTATTCAAAGGAGCAATTGAGAAGGCGAGGACCCTCACCATCTTTATCTATAGTCATCACAAGACTTTGTCTATGATGCGTCGCATTTGTGACAAAAGGGACATTGTGAGACCTGGAGTTACTCGTTTCGCCACTACATTTTTGACTCTGCGGAGTCTTCTTGAGAAGAAAGGGAAGTTGAGATTTATGTTTTCCGATGAAGCATGGGTGAGATGCAAGCTTGCAAAGACCGCTAAAGGCGCTAAGGTGGAGGCGATTGCTATGAGTGATAGTTGGTGGACAGCGGTGGCCAAGATCTTGAAGGTGTATGCTCCTATTAACAGCAACATTCTTTGAGGATGTTGAGTTTGGGGGGAGAAATAAGGTTAGAGATATTAGTTTTGAGGAGGAATTGGCTTCAGATCCAATCCATACAGTTACTTTTGACAATATTCAGGTTCCTATACCTGTTATTGCTCAAGAAGTAAATCCATAACCTCAAGATGATAATGTTGAACAACTCCCTGTTCCAGAAGAACAAACTAACAACCTCAAGAACCAGTGCCACTAAGGAGATCCACGAGAGAAAGGAGAAATGCTATTCCGGATGATTATATTGTATTTCTCCAAGAACATGAGGAAAGTAGTGGAATGTTAGAAGATGATCCAATCAACTTCTCTCAGGCCATGAAAAGTTCTAACTCTCAACAGTGGATTGATGCCATGAATGAAGAGTACAAGTCTATGCAAGACAATAAGGTTTGGGAACTTGTCCCATTACCAGAAGGTGCAAAACCAATTGGTTGTAAATGGATTTTTAAAACCAAGCGGGATGCAAACGGTAATGTGGAGAGGTATAAGGCACGTCTTGTGGCTAAAGGCTATACTCAAAAGGAAGGCATTGATTATACAGAGACTTTCTCTCCGGTTTCATCGAAAGACTCTTTCAGAATAATCATGGCACTTGTTGCTCATTATGATCTTGAGTTACATCAGATGGATGTTAAGACTGCATTTCTCAATGGAGACATTGATGAGATGATCTATATGGTGCAACCAGAAAACTTTGTGTCGGGAGACCCAAAGAATATGGTCTGCAAATTAAGGAAATCCATCTATGGACTCAAGCAAGCTCCTCGTCAATGGTATCATAAGTTTCAACAAATAGTTATCTCGTTCGGTTTTGAGATGAACATTGTTGATGACTGTGTATATCACAAGTTCAGTGGGAGTAAGTATATTTTTCTGGTTCTGTATGTGGATGACATCTTGCTTGCCACTAATGATATAGGCATGTTGCACGAAACCAAGAGATTTCTATCAAAGATGATGACATTAGATTAGATGCATATTGCTAATTCATTATATTACATCTAGACTATTCCTGTTTGACTATATTTTTGCTGATATTTTGGGACATAAACTTCTAGTTATTGGATATTGTATGCCTTGTCATTTAGTATGTATGCATCTTTGATTGACTATTATACTTTGGATAGCATATGTGTTGTGTTGGTATTTTTGTATTTATGCATTGTTGATTGAGTATATATATTTATCTTCAAGTATCACAATTAAAAAAAGAAAAACCGCCCAGAAGAAAAAAACCGTCCAGAAACCGCTTAGGCGCCCGCCTAGGCGTCTAAGCGCTGGGCGCCAAGTCCGGCGCCCAGGAGCGCCCAACGTTTAATGTAACATTGCATCATACTCTATAAAACTGAATTTTCCCGCACTGCATTACTATTTTCACCCTCCGTCTCGCAAACTTCCCAAATCTCAAGAATTTTAGATGATTGCTCCCCCAGGTTCCAGTCACCCATAAGACCAATTATTCTACCAGCGAATGTGGGATCTAGGATGGATATGTTGGCAGTGAAATCAGTTTTGGCCTAAAATACCTGGATGAAAACTTGACTATGCACATGCATATGGCAATGCGAGCCAAGCAAAGGTTGGTAGGCTACACTAAGATTACATCACATACTGAGATGGAAATGTGAAACACAAGCATTCAGGAGGTTATATTTTCGGGAAAAATTGTCTAGCCAAACAATTAAACAAGTTGTTAGGTTTTGGTCCTAGAATGTTAGTGAAGTGAGAACAACTTTTTTTTGGTTGCTATCACGCCATGTCAGTTAGTGTCACAGTTTATAATATCTTTATATTTTTCTTTTAATTTATTTATTTTTCTTTGATTGAGGAATGGAATGTTTTTGAAGCTATCTTCCCCATGTAACTCGATGTTTCCGTCAACTCTATCAAATATGTAATAATGTTTATTGAGAAATTTGGTATTAAAAATACCTGTTTTCCTATAAACATCATGACAATGAGGTTTAGGAATGACCATCTTTAGCCGTTCTATATCCTCATCAGAAATAGGAAATCTCTCCTTGGAGGTCATGTATATCAGTTTCAGAAGATTCTATGTCTTCTCCTGATACACTAGAAGATTCTTTGTTCATCATATATATTTGAGGAAAATCAGTGTCTTCTTCACTGTCTGATTCTGTTACTAATTCATACAGTTAGTGTCACAGTTTATAAGAAACATGAATCTCAAGTTCACGCTTGCCCAATGTAATAACTCACCTATATCTATACTACTATTACTATATTAAAAACCAACTAAGGATAGTGCAAAGTTGGGTGAGTGTTGGACAAGTCCTTCTCAATTGTAACTAAAAGGACAAAAATGTCATTTTACAATATGTGGTCTTTCCTCTTTTCTTTTCTTTTTGCTTCTAGAATATTCTATATCATTCAATGTCATAAGAAAAAGGAGCCCACAAAATTGTATGTTTTCTTCACATGATTTATTTATACTAATGCATAAATAAAATCAATGAAAGATTTTAGGTTTAAAGAGTTAAATGCATACTCTCTATAAAAAGATGAAATTATCTTCATATATATTTCTTGCTGTAAAAATAAAATGTTTTTATAGCATGTGGATTTGCACGTGTCAAAGTTATAGTATGCATGTATGACAGATTAGTTGCCTTTTCACGGAAATTTAGAATATCTAAATAGATACTACTGATTTATCCTTTCAACTGCGTAGTACAGCTTTATGATGCATCTAAGCCATCGTTCTAAAAGCGTGATAACTAGACCAGAAAATTTAATGACTTAGGATTATGCTTCAGTTGAGGTGTGAATGCATGTATTAGGAGGAAGACTGGTTTACATCAAAAGTGAACGCAGATAACAGGAAAATGAGATATTAATTTTCATGATATCCAGGAAAAGAAGTAAATTCACAATAGAAATGATTGCAAATATTTTAGTCAGGTAAATAATGAAGAATATTTTGAAGCAACAACACTAAGAAATGAAAGGAAAAATGATAGGGAGATGATCAAAAGTTGTCCGGTAAATTAACTCATATTTTTTTTCTTCATCTTATAGTAAAAAAAGTTCTACTACAGGAAGGCCGAAAAGAATACCTAGAGGTTCATAGATAGACCTTAAATTATTCAAGGAATTGGTCTAATTTAGCTTGAAGTTGATACCAACAGAAAATCAAGGAGAAAAGTTAATCAGAAGAAACATAAGTGATCCTTTTTGGCTCATATGTTTGCTTTCAATATAGAGGAAAAAACATTTGGCTTGTAAATTCCAAGAAATAAAAGAGAACCATAATACAACTGAGCATAGTAGTAATATGATGGTATATTTATTCCGGGTCTTGAATCTCTCGACTTCTGTCATTTAATAAATCAAAGATGGGAAATTTTGTAGGGATATTCACGTGAGTATAGTCTCACGTTAGCAAGGATAACAAAGAATGATGAGTTTACATAAAAGTTGAGGTCAATAGCTAATAATAGCTCCTCACAAATTTAACATAGATACCTGAAGATATCACATAAACTCAACAAGAACATCATAAAATTCGCGGAAGATATAAGCATGCTCTAACCTCAAATATCTACCATATGCTACTAGCCAAATCACGTATGATGAAGAATTAGTTGACAAACAGTATTCTGCGAATCTGTGGTGTGTCAATGGAATGGTCACAACCTCTGCCATAGTAATTTTCAAATTTCAGCTTTCATTGTCAAGCATGTTTACAACATCTAATTGCATTACTTTCATAAATGATGCCACCATGTGCATGAACCATGCCTAAAATCTAATGTTTTCATCGTTAAGTCTGTGTGACTACTGTCTTCCATCTTGTAAGATGGAATACATCAACAACAACATTCCAGACAAGGGGGATATATGGTTGTTTTACTGGTTCTAATTTTAAGTGGACCAACTAGGGTAATATTTAGCTGATAATGAGTTTCCACTGATTGATTTACCCAATGCAAGTAACTAAAGATGGAAATGTCTGCAGTGTTATAGTACACCTTAGTTCCATTGTTTCCTAGCCCTATATTGCTAGACGAGATTGCATAGAATTGGTTTTGATCGGACAAGAATTGTATGAGTTTTGACTGAATAGCTCAACTTTGTCCGAGTAGGCGCATGATCTTGGAGGGTGTTTGGGAGATTTGGTCAAACTAGGTTTTAAGTTAGCTTTTCATGTCTATCTATTTGGTAAAATACCAAATAAGTTAACTAATAAGCCCCATTTTAAAACGTTGGTGTACCACAGCTTTTGAAAAAGTAGCTTATAAGTACACTTACATAAGCAAGGTTTGACCAACAAAATTACTATTCTACCCAAACAATTTTTACAGCAATTTTATCATAAAAGTCAAAAGCCACTAAAATCTAGTATAACTTACAAGATTCAAAAAAATAAGCCTCCCAAACACTCTCTTAGCTAGCCTCAGCTTACCACTTGATAGTGTGCGGTGCTTATTTGGCGGTAGGTTGAAAATATTCAAGTGTTGTACCAAATTCACATTGCAGAAATTACAAGATTTGGTGTAGTTTTGTGTAAACAACTTGATGAAGAAACACTGAGAGCCCAACTTTCCTTACGAATAATGGGTTTCATAAATATATATATATATATATATGAGAGAGAGAGAGAAATGGAGAACCTTGACACCAAGTTGCTCCATGGAACTTGGTAGTGATGTGAACTGATCTGGTCCCTACATCTACATTGGAGTAAGTGAAAAGTGGTTGAGGCTCTATTTTCGAGTAGTGATGTAGGGGTCAGATCAATCCACATCACTACCAAATTCCATTGAGCAACTTAGTACCAAGGTTCTCCATTTCTCTCTCTCTATATATATAGTCAGTCGATCTAGCTGATGCTAGCAATAGACATGACAAACAAGCTTTTAAATGTTGGATGTCAGGCTCATGTCGGACGGTTAAAATCCATATCGGATAGCGAAAATCAGGGATATATCGGGGGACATGGACAACATATCGGATTACCATATCGAATGACGCGTATATGTATAATATCATGTCCTAAATGTAATCTAAGCATTCATAAATTCAATATAAGCATACTTTATAAATTCTAGAGGCAACGTCGGTGATGGGTGGATTCCGACATCGCAGGGAAACAGTGCCGATGCTCTTCTTCTTATTCGTCTGCTTGGGATCTTTTGGATGAGTCACCGGTCACCCTCTTCCCTTTATCCCGATGACGAGATACCCTGTCGCTCTCGGGTTTGGTTGGGGTTCGGATTTTGGGGCGCAACGAGAGATGGACGACGGGGGTCCGAGATGGAGATAGGGGAAGGGCATCGTTGTTCACAAAAGGAGTGATCGGTTCCCAAATCCGCTGTAGCCCTAATTTTTCTCTTTTCTTTCTATCGGGTTCATAAAAAACACTTAAACATGAGAACGGATCAAACGGGTTTGGATTTTTATCACTAAACCCAAACCCGATAACAAAAAATAGATCTAAAAAAGGGCCATATCGACCGATTTTTTAAGACTGGAAAATCGGCCGATATGTCCGATATGACCTCCAATATTTCCGATTTGGCCCTGAAAACCGATATACAAGTTGAAAAAGTCCATGTCGTGTCGCTCAAGCCCTCAAACCGACATGTCGGACACGTCGGCCGACATGTAAAACCTTGATGACAAGCTAGGTTGACATTTGAGATAGTTTTAGTTGGTTAAAGAGGGCATCTCTTTTCAATCAGACAAGAATAAAATAAGGCCTGACTGAACTGAGCACAATCAGTTTCTGTTTTCTAACACGGTTTTTCTCCAAATGGAGGGGTATGCATTAACCACAAGCTGTGCTGAATCAAAGGAGCTCTTATCTCTATTACTTAATTGACAAAGTTTTGTTGGGTCCCACTTTTTTATCTGAAAAAGGACAGTGAGTGAGCAATCAATCACTTCCTTATCTCTAGTATTAATTTACTTTATCTCCTACTACTAAATAAAATCCTTCATCAGTTAAAAATCAGCTTAAGCCTCTTATCACATGCTCAAAGTCTTAACATATGACTCTTTATGCAAAGAAATTATCCCAAAGATTAAAGGTAGCACCCATAGCTTAAGGTTCAATCATTCAGACTAGCTTAAGCCCGTCATGAAAACAAAAGTAAGCTCTAAAAAGCATGCATGCGATAAGCCTGGCAACAACCTATTGAATTCAATTTGGTTCATATGTTGATCAAATACAAACAATAGAGTGCAAGGCAAATGAAGTTCAAACTTGAAAGAAAGGAAATGCTATGGATTTAGCCAAAAAAAGTATAAACTCAATATAGGTCAACCCAAATGTATTAGGTGAGGTGAGCTTGAAATGAACATAGGAGATATAATGAGTCTTTATGAATAATTTGCTCAAGTTTGCATCAAAGAGCTAAACAGAGTTATTCAATTAAACCTCGAAAACTATGTTAAGAGTTAATCCAGGTATTTATAGGTCCTAAAACGGGGGCTTTGCAAGTCCATTAGTAACGCCAAATGCCTAGATGTCTCGTATGGCCTGACATCTCCTCACAGTAATCACACAGTTTGCACAAGGTCCATATAGCAGCTACATATTACCATCTACTGTACATAAGGTCACACGATCTATCATGTTAACACACTTTGGTTACTTATCTTATACATCCATTCTACGAAAGACTTATTCTCATCTGTGATTCTAATCACATAACAAAAATACCAACAATCATCTACGAAAATACCTGTATTTTCCACTGAAATTGGAGCCGATGCTGGTCAAATCAGTTGACCTACCAATAGCACCATCATATTCTATATGCTTATCATTCAATTAACACTAAAAGAAACTAAAATCCTGCATTCCTATAAATGTTAACTATCATCAGTTTGAGGCTTAGAGCAAATCAAAAATTTCACAAACAGCCGACTTTTCAAGCATCAAATTCCTTAAAAAAACTGTTATTTTTCGATAGAATTCGCACCTGATAAGATTCTTAGACGTGATTCTAGGCGCTTTGATCGCAGCACCTATCAAGCTACTCCCCGTAATGTAAATCCCCCTAAAATCATCAAAAATAACTCAAAATAAAAAACAGAACAAAACATGGATCGAAAACAAAACAAATAAGCGAATGAACTAGATAATTACCAAGCAGCACCGAGAACGGAGACGCCGATAGAGAGCGCGATCCCGATCGATGCGAAGGTGTACGGAGAGATCCGAGTCAGCGCGTGGGCCCACGTGCTCGCCGATCCCGCCATCGGACTTGAAGTAGGGCTAGGGTTTCTGAACCGGTACAAATCTAGGGTTTCGATGAGAAGAGAGAACGAATCTGCGGAAGAGAGAGGAGATGAGAGATCGAAGAGAGATCGTTTCGCTCCGCGAGAAAGAATTTTGTTAAATTCACGCTCGATTAATTTCATATGCGTTCCGACTGAGATTCGTTTTCTGAAGAGTGGCCCAATCCAGTAACATGCTAATGGGCTAAATCATTGGAAGCCCATATGTAGAGAGAAATAAGGTAGGCTGATAACTGGGCTGCCCAAGAGGATGCTTGGCAACATTTTCACTTACAAGTATATTTGGATTTAGACCCTCTTCACTTAGGTGTACACTAAAGAGTGTCTAATTCTTTCAATATTTATCATCTATCTCCATTCAAATGAATGTGATCATGCTAGGATGGATTTTTACTTTCCTAAATGATAATTTTGACTATGGTGTTTTTAAGTTTACATATAGTTTTCAAGACCATAATGGTTTTCAAGATATCAATGGAAACCTTCCATGACCTGATATCATTCCTCGAAAGTATTATAGACAATAAGAATTGAGAAATTTAGATATTGTTCAATTACCAAAAATTAGACACTGTTCAATTACCACCTAATTGGAGAGGATCTGAATTCAGTATCTTTTTAATTATACAATGCCAAGATCACTTCGATTAGAGTTTACTTATTACTTGTTTTTTAAATTAGTATAGGGCACCTTCATGTTTGTATGCGGTTCATAAGTGGACATTAGAACGCGCGATAACTTTCTGTATGCATGATGCAAAGTGTAAATAGTACAAAAGGTTTGGTTGCTTTGTTTAATTTTTGGACTTAGCAAGCAATGGTTCTTAAAGTATAGTGTTGCTTCAGGATGTCAACCAAGAATTAATGTCAACCAAATACTGTCGTAGATCTCTCAGGCGCAGGACAAGGAAATGATCACTTTCGTAGTCGAGCACAGATTACAAGCTCAGATTACCATTAATGTGGCAAATAATGATACCCATTAATATCATCTCCGCAAGATAAAAAAAAATGATAAATATGAATGAGCCGCTCTGGTATGAAGAGTACTCATTTAAATCCTGCGAGCATGATATGCTAATTAAGAACAATATATATGATACCCATTGACTCCCCATAGCGGCTCCTTGGTCGTTTCATCGTCAGCAAACTCTCCATGGGGGTCGTCTCTTCATTGTCGCACCTTAGTCTCGTCGTTGGACCATGCTACTTAGGGCCTGTTTGGATTTGTAGGGGGTGAAGGGAAGTTAAGGGCTTGTTTGGATTGAGGGGAATGAGGGTGAAGGGAAGTTAGGGGAACCATTCACCCTCATTCACCTTGTTTGGGAACACTTAGGAGGTGAAGTTAATTCACCTCCATTCACCTTGGTTCACTCCTTAATAGTATAAAAATTATTACCCCCCAAATTGGGGTGTAACCAAGAGGAAGGGAATTCCCTTCCCTTCCCTTCATTTCCCTTCCCTTCCCTTCACTCAGTTTCCCTTAACTTCCCTTCACCCCCTACGAATCCAAACAGACTCTAAGGGAAACTGAGAGAATGGAAGGGAAGGGAAGGGAAGTGAGTTCCCTTCCCTCTTGTTTGGATTGAGGAAAATGAGGGTGAAGGGAAGTTAGGGGAACCATTCACCTCCATTCACCTTGTTTGGGAACACTTAGGAGGTGAAGTTAATTCACCCTAGTTCCCCTTGATTCACCCCCTAATAGTATAAAAATTGTTACCCCTCAAATTGGGGGTAACCAAGGAGAAGAGAATTGCTTTTCCTTCCCTTCCCTTCCCTTCACTCAGTTTCCCTTAACTTCCCTTCACCCCCTACAAATCCAAACATGCTCTTAAGTTTTGTCTTGATTGTTATGATTAAGTAAGGGGTTAATCGTCGGTCTCGTCTTTCCGGGAGTCACCCTTGCTCGCAGCATGGCGTGGAGGAGGCTCCTACGACATCATCTCCAGTGACCTCTTGCTTTGGGGGTAAGAATCTTATATATATTTTTTTCTTTTATCCCGGATTGACCTCTCGAGGGTCATGACGGAAGAACCGATACCCCTCCCGCGGGGGTTAAGGTTTCGGACTTGCTTTGCTTATTTGATGGCGTGGTTCGTTCTTCACCGTCCGGACTTGATGTCGGCGCCCAGCGCCGTTGATGTTTAGGAGGTGAAGTTAATTCACCCTAGTTCCCCTTGATTCACCCCCTAATAGTATAAAAATTGTTACCCCTCAAATTGGGGTGTAACCAATGGGAAGGGAACTCCCTTCCCTTCCCTTCACTCAGTTTTTCTTAACTTCCCTTCACCCCCTACAAATCCAAACAGGCCTTAGTGGGTGAACCAAGGGGAACTAAGGTGAATTAACTTTACTTCCTAAGTGTTCCCAAACAATGTGAATGGAGATGAATGGTTCCCCTAACTTCCCTTCACCCTCATTCCCCTCAATCCAAACAAGCCATGAACCCTTTTTTTTATCCTCTCTTCTCCTTCGCGAAGGACTCCTCTGTCCATGAACTGCTTCTTCTCCTCTCTCCGCCTTCACGAATGACTCCTCAATTTCCTCCGCCTTGGCGTAGTAGCTTGTTGAATCTCTATTTTTTAAAATAAAATTATGACTCGAAATTTTAATAAAATTAAATAAGAAAAACTACTGATAGCAACTTTTTTTTTTGTTATTGCAGTCCTGATAGCGACCCTGATCCAAGTTCTATCATATGTTGTTATTGGAGTTCCGATAGTTACCCTGATCCGAATTCATGTAGATCAACATCATGGCCAACAAAGACACAATCAAGAAGAGATGAACGTAGTTATCTTCGGATTTCTAATTTATCTTTACTGACGTATATCATGGGACTAGAGGCTAGCTAGTTAATTATGTATAAAATAACTTATTTATACTTACAATTGGAAACCGTTAGTATTCATAACTGAAAATTAATTTTCACTATACCCCCTAACGGCTAAATTTCCATGGTTATAAACGTTTCAAGATGTCCTAATGATACCATCATTAAATCATTTGTTTTGTTGTGGATTCGAAACAATCAATCGAACCATTGCCTTTCCGGACCTTGTGTTGAAAGTAGGAAAATAGGAAATTCACCACAAATTGATCAAAGCTTGTAAAAGAGTAAAGGAGACACTTGAGGGTGTTTCAGCTGAAGGAGGTAGTCTCCGCTATCTCCGAACCTGGTTTTCACGCAAACTCAAACTTTAGAATCCAAACTTTGCGGGATTTTAGTGGTTCTTTGGCCACCTTTTTCCTTTTTATTTCTTGTGCTTTTTGCACAAAGACACGAGCGTGAGTGGCATTTGCACGACGCTTTTGAATGCGTTCCTTAAGAGTTGAACGAGTCCTTTTGACATGGACCCATTCATCGATCGATGGCTTGGAGGAGATGTCAGTAAACTTGTCGTTGAGGTGACTGGATCACTTGACGCCTCTTTGACTCCAGATCCGTGTAGTAGCGAACTCTGTTGATCTACTTCAAAGCCTTAGCGAGCTAGCGAGCGTGGCGTTGGCATTGTCTCTGATGAGCCCTCTTCGTCAGAGTCGGTGAACTTTCGTTCAATAATTCCTTAACTGTAGAGGAATCGTTGTGAGCAGAGGTTCCGACATTGTCGATCGTCAGAACATCGTTACGAGGGGAAGCCTCGACAACGGTTAGGCGAGAGTTATCACACGTAGTCTTCATCGGAGTTGAAGACCAAAAAACCTTCTTTGAAGATGAAATCTTCATGCATTTGCGAGGTGAGGAAGATCTTGAGGAGGAGGATGAGAGGTATTCCAAGAGCTTTGCTTGGTCGAACTCGTATTCGACCTTGGAGTCAACCGAGATCTTGATCGGTGTGACACTTCGGTCTCGGCAGCGAGACCGTTGGCTCCCACTGTGGTCGCCAACGTGTTTGCGTCAGAAATCTTTTTTATTGTGGAATCCGTTATAACTCATTTATTGAATTACAGATTTAAAAATGTGAGCCTTTTTATAAAACTTCTTTACACAAATGAAAACAAACAAATGAGATCTCCTAGAAACACACGCAGAGACTGTTTATCGGTCGTTGCTTGCGTAGAATCTTTTCCTGTGCCATGGACACGTTAGACCGTGGACTACCGATTTATAGATCTAGATTGGTCTGAAGAAGGCTTGGAGTCGATGTTTCATTTTAGAAACAAGGACATAGGTGGATATCTCAACAAGGTTAGATAAACACTCTTCTCAAGAGTAAAACAAGGTTTGATCTAAAGGAAAATATCGAAGGCTCTCAGGATGTGAAGAACTCTCTCTCTCTCTGGATCACAAAGCTCACCAAAAATATCAATGCTCTGCTGCCAATTTGCTCTGTCCATGTATAAGGGTGCAAGGGAAGTATTTATAGCCCCTGGGAACCATTTCTGAAGATAAGAAGTCGAAACCGACTTTATCTGTCAACTTCTATTTTCGAGACAGTGCCTACTGTCTCGAAAGAAGGGGTCATTCCAGGCAATTTTGTAACCGACGTTCAATCTGTTAAATGCCATGATTTTTAGGGATTTTGACTATCTTTTCAGTTTATAACAGCCTCCCCATATTTATGGATAATCCCAAGCAGTTATGAAGCCACGTTGGTCGCACAAAGTCCAAGAAACCCGTCAAAATGGACGTTACACTGCCTCACTTTTTTTGAGACAGTCTACCTATCTCACATTTTCGAGACAATTGACACTATCTCGGAAACTATGCTCTCTTTGAGTTGTTATTTTTTGTGATTTCCTTGCTTCCTTTTTCTTCAACTAGCCCTCGGACGATCTTCCCTGACTTAGACAATGACGTCCTTCGTCATCTCTTCATCTTGAGCTGTGTTCGGGAATCTATTGGTAATTTTTGACGCCTATAGTGATGTGTCTCTTGCATTCCCATGCTATTGGGCTATACGTAGTCATAGTGTGAACTATGAGGTGATTCTCGTAATATGTGAACAACTCATTGAGATTTGAGATTCTAACATTGAATGTAAATTTAAAAAAATGGTAATCTTTCTATTTTACATAAAATTTAATAGCATGTTTTCTTTCTCAATATTTATCTCGATTTTAAAAAAAATGCTTTAGGAATCTGTGACAATATATTTA